TATTGGAAAAGCAATTTTTTTTATATTTTATTGAAAATTGTTAACAATACTTCATTGAAGTTGGAAATGAAAATTTTGAAAAGATGCTTTAGTTATTTCACTTTTATTGGCGCAGTAAAATCCTTGTTATTGATCAGATTTCCATAGGGTGGAAAAAATTTGAAAAGCTTAATTTTAGCAATCGAAATTTAGCAATAAAACTTTTTTATATTAAAAACGTTTTTTTAAGGGAATTTTAAAACACGAGAGGAATTATTTATCTACAAATTTATAGTTATTAAAAAATTAACGAGCCAATATCAATGGCTTAGAAAGCAATCAGCTATATAATTGATACTTAAAAAAAATATATAAAACAAAAATAAGGGCGAAGGGCCTAGTAGTACGGTGTTAAATAACAAATTAATAAATAAATAATATATATAAAACAAAAATTAAAAATAAAGTCACGATATTGTGTTAATAAAATTTTGAGCATTTCTATAATTAGAATAAAAAAATCTAAGGAACAACAATATTATATTTAAGTAATAATTACTTAAGGCATTCTTATAATATCTACTTGAATATATATTTTTTTATTGTTGTTGAAAAATATTTGTTTTACATTATAGTACAATATATACCATCATTTGCGACATAAGCTTTTGATTCAAGGTATATGAAAATAAGAATCTATAACTATCTTATAATAAAACGTATTAATCATTTAGTTGTTTTAAAATATTTGATTTAAATTAATTATGATTTATTGAAATTTGGCACCTTCTCTGTTTAATTTTACTTCACTACATTTTTTATTAAAATTTTCTATTTAATAGATCACAAAGCTAACGTAAACAAATAATCAAAATAAGTTTAGTTAAAATAATCGGTGACTGACGGTAAACCACGCACAGACATATGGGGCCCTACCGACTTTTCTAAAATATTAGAAATGCTGACAGCTGCAAATAACACAATTAATAAAAATAATGAAATTTAATAATTAATAGCAACATTGGCTACTTGTTGAAAACCACAATTAGTCATTACTTCTAATTTGATAATGCGTACTTTGCAATATTCGAAACAGCGTTGTATTGTTAGCCAATTTTCAATAAATTAACTAAAATTTTTGTTGTTGTACTTTCATTTCAATTCGAATCCTTCCAACTTTTAAATGGTTTCTTTTCGTCAAAATACATGTCACTTTCTGTAAAAAAAAAAATTAGCATTTATAATTAATAATTTATATTTATTATTGTAATTAATTATAATAATTTATAAATAATAAGCACCTAACTTGTACTTAATTTAAACACGTAGATACATAAATGCCATATAGAGGCTGATAAAATTAATGGCAAGTCCTAGTCATCATTGTTTTATTAATTCTCATCAAAATTAGCAACTGCCTTTGGTATTCTTCAGAAAATCACAACAGAAGGACACACAATCATACAATATATTATTATTATTGCTAATTAATTGATTAATTTGGGAGATCTATTATAGTTAAAATTATAATATATGATGCGAATTAAAATTTTTATCACTGTTTTTATATTTTATTTAATACTAAATATTACAGAATTACAATATTTTTTCAACCAACGACTGATTCTTTCTAACGACTGACTCTTTTAATTTTTATAAAGAGGAACTAACGTCATTTTCGAGAAATTGAAGATTGGATTGACCAATTTAATTATAGCTTCTAGAATTCTCAGGAATTTTCTAGATGCTTGCGTATCTCCATCCTATAGGATTGGAGCTTCTATTTCCTAAAACGCCTTACGAGTCTTTAGCTTTGGCGTCAATAGCCAGACGCCGAGATCAATGACCAATAATAATATATTTCAATTATAATGAAACTATTCATATGATAAATAAATAAATTTAATAATTAAGATTAAAAATTAGTGAGAATGGTATTAGAAATTAAATCTGACAAAAACACTGCTAAAAAAATCGATCCTGTGAACCAAAAAGTGAATAAAGATCGAGAATAAATAATTAGACGTCATTGTCAAGCACTTAAATTTTTTTGTTACCTATTGGAATATTTTTCATGCAGATTTGCATTTCGCTTATGATAATGATAATACACAAAATAATTATCATATAGGTAGTTAATGATAATTTATGCTACCGTCTTCAATGCTTTATGAAATAATCGTATACTTTTGACTTAATTCGTATAGCAATGGAAGTACAACAACAAAAAATTAAAAATAACTGTAACAACAACAACGTCTAAGCAATGTTTAGCAAAATATTAAATTATAAGTATAACATACGTACATATGTATATAATCTACCATGAGTACAAGTTTGTTGCTTGTAAATTTTTGTTATTGTCCAACTAGCTATTTTGGAATTTTTTTGTTGCAATTTGTATATCGTTTGACAATAAATACTTATTTCTGTGCTGGGGGCAAAGAGGTATTTAACAGAGCACAAACACATGAATTACGATTGTTAGAAAAGAGTTTGGGGTTAGGAATGCATTAGACATGAGAAGAGTTTTTAATTGATGCGTTGGTAAGTGTTGAATATAAATTCATTGAACTCAATTCCACCATATCCACCATGCAATCAGCTTTAATAAAAAATACCTAACCATGCACAATAATTAAATGTGGTGAAAATAAGACAAAAATTTTGTTAAAAAGTTGGTTTGCAAAACGTGACTTTTTTTTATAGTAAAATCAATTGCTCAGTGGACTTGTAGTGAAGCTTTGCCTTGTTTCTTTTTCTTCAATAGAATCAGTATGAAGTCTTCACGCTGTGTTGATATTCAAGATTTTAATCTTTTTGTGGCATTTTTTAGTTGAATGTATTTATTATTTAAAAGTGTTAAATAATTTTTTTTAATATATTTATTAATCTAGTGCTTTAATTCTAATAATTCACCATGAGTTAATAATTTTGTGTAACACAAAATTAATTTTGTGTTATTAATTTTGTGTTAATAATTTTGCGTAAATAATTTTGTGTTATTAATTTTGTGTTAATGATTTCGTGTTAATAATTTTTTGGTAATAATTTGGTGTTAATAATTTTTTGTTAATAATTTTGTGTAAATAATTTTGTGCTAATAATTTTGTGTTAATAATTTCTTGTTAATATTTTTGTTAATAATTTTGTGTAAATTAATGCAGTTTTTTGTAAGAAAACACATTAAGAATTAAGAAAATGTAACAAATGAAACTAAGGCTTGCCATCATGGAATCTCTACACTCACTTTAAATTAAAGGTAAGACTTTTTTATAACAGTTCTTAATAAATTAGAAGATTTTAAGTAATTGAAATGAAATGAGCCTCAATAAACGCCATAAGTGAATTTAAGTTACTAACCTCGACTGAACTGTATTTTAATAATGTGTTAATAAAATTAATTCTTATCGTCTGTTTTGAAGAAAGAATCTAGATACTTAATATGAACTATTGTTTTCAATAATTTAGTGGTTTTTGTTGAACAGCAGTGAAATTGCAACAACAGAAATTTTTTTTAATATTTTCTATTAATAGAATTTTGGGTTAATGATTTAATATATTTTAATTTGTAATGATAATGTAAAAATTTAGTAACTCTTTTAAATAATATCATAATAACACAAAAATAAATCCTTTAATATTAGTTTTATTGATGTATGCATTATAATAGTTCTTAAATTCTACAAAAATCAAATACCAAACGTATGTAATTTATTAAAAACTATTCTAACATAATACTGAAATTAATTAATTTACTCAATATAACCGAAAACAACATTAACTCCAATCAAATATCTTACAATTGTCCCTCTATAATCGCACCTATAGATGTCAGTTTAAGATTTCATAAAAATAAAACCAATATTTTCTTTAATTTACGATGCTTCACCGGAATGCACTTACTATAACATTGCGAGCTTCTCTATCTTCTTTGATTTTTAGAACCATTTTGTTTCACAATTTATTTCGTTTTTATTTGACTTCTGAATTTTACTACATATATAGATATTTTAAATATTTTAAATAGTTACTACTTGTTGCTTTCATCTTCCAACAATTAGATATACCTATACCATTCACTGATTTGTTATACATATATGTATATATTTTTCACTAATTCGCTTCTTCTAATAAATTCGCCAATTTTTTTGCCATTTTGTTAAATATACATACATGGGACAAATATACATGGGACAACTCGTAATCTCTTAAAAAAAAATATAATAATGGTATTCGCAATACAGACCATAATTGCTTCCTATTCCAATTTGCTTCAATCTGTTGTAAATCCAGCTTCATTCTCTAGTTGATTGGTTTCACCGTTCTTATACCCATTTAAATATTTTCTACCTATCTACCTATCTGGTTCGTGGATCATTCTTTTAGAAACCTTGCACTTTATCTTCAAAATATTTTACACTAAGTAGCTCAATTCTTCTAAGTATTCTAAATTTTGTTGGAACTTATTATATTTCTATTGCTAGGAAATATTCTATTCGTTCTCTTGTGGGTTTGTTTAGTAGGAATCTTTCCAAAGATTTGTGTGGAAAAACTACAAAATCACATTACATATATGTATGTATATGTTTCCTATAATAACATTTAATGATGATGATTATCAGATATTATTCGCTAATTATAGGAAAGTTCCAGATGCCCGAATTACCGTCTGTACAACAAAATAGAAATGCAAAAAAAATCCGATCAGTATTCATAGTAATCGGTATAAAACAAGATTAAATGTCATATATTGTTAAGTCAATTTTATAACAACCTTAGCTTGGGTCTGGGTGACCTAAACTATTGAATAGAAGATTCTTTTGTAAAATTTGATTTCAAATTTTATATTTAAATAATAACTGCAGGTAAATGTAATGTATAAAGTAATAAAACAAGATATAAAAATACTTACGAGTATAGACATGATGAAGGAACTTTTCACAAAATTAAAATTTATAAAAAAACAATGCAAAAACTTCTGCTTAAATTAATTTTATATTATATATATTTATTGTACAACTCTATTATTTGTAAGTCAGAATCCTTAAGTTATTAAATATTTAAGTAAACTTAACTCTAAACTATAGCTGCATATATTAATGCATTTTCTAATACCTGTTAGCGAATATCGGAACAAATAATTCCTCTGATAACATCACGATCGTTCGAATCATTAAGCATTAAAGGAAATACTTTCACTTCATTTCCATTAATCATCCAACCAAGCTGAGTGATGTACTTCATCAATACTTCTAAAAAATGAAATATTAATAGACGTGTCATAAACAGTTTTTAAAGATTATATGCACCCACCTTTATCAACAGCTAATTTCATTTTGAATTCCATGCAGGGAACTGTTGTACGTGTTGATCCAACTTTAAAACAGATGTATTTTCTAATAGCTTCGTCAAAACCGTCCAGTATGGGAAGTATTGTAGCTTTCTGTTTATAATGCATCCAAAATTCTTCGTAATCTTCATTTTCTAATAAATCTGCCATATCAATTATGACCCTGATCCCATCATCAATTAATTGAGACCATATTAGATACTTTCTCGCAAAATTAAAGTGCTGATATGGGAGTTTACTCAAAGCCTTCAATAAAATAAGTCTTGTTATTTTCAAGTTTACCAGTTGTGGGTAGGCGTTGTACATGCGCAATAGATGCATGTTAAGTTTGAGGCAATATGTATCTCCATTTTGTTCCTCTATCAGCTGTTCGAAGGATTTCAAGTTTTCTGGGTTATACCTTAATTAAACACATTTTTTGAATGAACTGTTAATATTATGGTTTAAAAAAATTATCTTACTTCTCGAAACGCTCAAATCCTTTCTTCGGAATTGCAACTCTTACATGAGACATTTCAATTCTTCTTGTTTTTAACCAAACAAATTTAGGAATTGATACTAGTCCTATATGGTATATTGTTAATAGATTGTGTGAAACCCAATATTATAGGTATGCTATCGTCAATAATATTGGTTTTGGTCAATATTTAAAAAAAAAAAGTTATTCGAGTTGTCATTTTGTTCATTTTAAATACGGTAACTAAGTTAGTTTGAAATATTTCAATAAAAAAACTATTTAGGAATCATATAAACAAATGATAATATCAAACCTCCATCATAACGTTTACTTGCTTCTGAGTATTTTATTCACTTGATTGCTTTGTTTTCACTTAGATATAAAAGAGAGAACACAATATTATTGACTACCTATAAAATACTTAATTTTTTAGAGTATTCGAAATATAAATATAAATCTTTAAAGGTTTAACAGGTAAGTTTTGCAAAAGCATGCTTAAGAATGTGAATATAGAAAACGTTGACATTTATAAAAAAAAGTTCTTTACATTTCAATTTAATTCCAATGAAAATCGGAGAGTTATAACAAATAATATCAATTATATTCTAACAGAAGCTATTCGCTTAACTTCTTTTCAGGTCTTTTCATAAATTTGCGGCTGATCTATAAATAAAATTTTACCATCTCTATCTGATCCGTTAATGCGCAGGGTACTCTATGACCCTATATTCAAGAATGTTTTGACGCTATTTTCAGCCAACCTGTGTTGAATGCGTTCAATCTATTATTTCATTATTCCATCAGTAGTTAGAGTCACTATTAAGATCGCACGATGGTCTTAAAGCATAAACACTTCGTTACTGTAATTCATTTATTATTGTTCTTCTCCAGGTGTTACATAGTCTTCCTATGTGTTTCTTGTCTTGGGGGTTCCATTGATGTGTTGCGTGACATATTTCGTCATACGGCTTTCAAAGAGTGTGGCTAAGACAATTATATTTCCGACGCTTGACGTGTTTGTTGATATCTTCTTGGTTTGTGAAATAAATTGGAAATGTTGTGGAAGTTAACTTTTATAAAATTTCTCCATTTTTATTACAACTTATAAGTTCCACGTATATAAAGTGAAATATTTTTCTTGATAATTCTGAGATATATATAGAATCGTAAAATTGAAATATTAACTTTAAGTTTAATTACATAAATCCAATTCTAAAAGTATCTATTAAGTTTACAAATTTCGAACTCTTTCAAAATATTTGAAATAATTCGTTTTCCTTTTATTTGCAAAAACTACAAACCTTTAAAAAAATCCTTATTGCATTTTATTTTGCAGCTTTTATGTGTCTACCGTTTGTGCCAAAATTACTTTTGATCCTTATTGCCTCACAATATGCGCCTTAACGCATCTTTATTAGTCATATTTCCAAAATGTTTCCTTCACACTTCTCCTGCAGTCTATAAACAATTCATTTATGATGCTTGCATGCTGGATTAAGGCGCAGATGATGTATGCATTTATGATACTTGATTTAGCAGCGGCTGCAAATCATCGCCAGGATAACGCTTAAATGTATTTTATACGAAGACAAAAATTTATGTGTTAGAAGAAAATTTATTTGTGATTGCAGTTGATCTCTCTCATTGCTAAAGTACATAAATACTTATCAGCAAATATACACACACCCATGGAGAATAACATTCATGGAGGATGTGAGGACAAAATTATGAATATGAATAAGGATTTCAAATTTGAATATGTGCAGGCATGTGTAATAAATTATACAGTATTAGTTATTAGAATTTTCCTTCATTGTATGTTGAATAGAATTGAATGAATGGTGTTGAATAAATATGAGAAGAGGTGATGACGTTTGTTTTCTATTTTTTTATGAATTTAATAAGTGTTCTTAAATTGCGTGTTGAATTTAACAATATTTATAATTTAATAATTTATAATATAATTTAATTTGATTTATTGTAGATACTTAAATATAGTATCTATCTTTATATTTATTATAAAATATTGTAGCTATATTACTTTAATATATGATATATGATGTATTTAAGTTGTGGCTTGTAGAACTCGCCACTGGTTGTTTGATAAACACACTCATAGGTTAGAAGTTTCCTCCTATCAAAATAGTAGAAGTTGTGCTGATAAGAAGGAGGAAAAATCTGTATAACATCTATTGTGCAACTGCCTAGTTCCAAGCATAAGCGCAATGGACTTCTTAGGCAATTATGTCCAGCGTTAACATTAGGCTCAGCCTGCGCTTTTTTTAAGGGTTTAAAATTGTTCCATTATTTATTAATAAATTATATATCGAGAACGATGTTGTCATTAATGTGATATTATCTGTTGAGCTCAAACATTATATACTTGTAACATTGCGTTCAATAATTATCTATTGTGTATTTGCCAATGTCAATTTTCACATTAAGTTTAAGGGTGAACACAAAAGCAAATACAATCCACAATGCCACCTTAGCAACCTAGAAACCAGCAGGTGGATGTATGTAGCCAATGTTAGGAATGGATTTTTACCCGTAATCTAGCCAATGTTAAGAATGGATTTTTACCCGTAACAACTTATTACTTATCATTTTAGATGGTACTATAAGCATTTATCAAACCCAACATGAAAACAACTTCCTATGTGGTAACCAGCATATGCGGAATCATCCCGCTATCTTGGTAGTCGGTACATCGAATGTTGAGGCACCAAATTCACTTGGATATTATAATACACGAAACTGTCTGAGTCTCTAAGCTACAGATAGACTTAAGAAGGTAGGAAGTAAGTAAGGTCTGTTTTTAAGTAGTGATATTTTTTGAGGAGTAAGACTTAAGTGAGTTGGTTAATTAGACTGGTTGTCACAGTAACTCAACCAAACCAAATGATAAACAAAAAAAATAATCTTAAATATTGATTATTGATAATTATTGATAACAAACGAAAAATATTCACTAACAATTTTTATCCCAGGTTTGCTTTAGAAATAAAGATAGTAAAGCTTAAGATATAATAGTTGTCAAAAATCAACTATAAACTTAAATTTATAAATTAATTTTACAAACTCATTTCTCTAATATATTATTTGGTATTAAATTTTTTTTTTTGTTGATTACTGATCTTACAAACTTTACCTGTTCCATAACTCACTTTCCCACCAGTATTGTGTTTTTCTTTATGTGTATTTTAAAAATATTGTAAAATCATCTTCAAAAATTTGTCATTAACCGAACTTATGCTTAAAGCAAATAAAGTCCCCCTCCAGTTCTCTGCACTTAAACAACCCATTTACAAATATGATATTAATTACACACTTAGAACAATGACCATAACGCAAATATTCGATTCATTTGCTCTCAATGTAAGTGAAATTCAATGCCTGCCAACGCATGTGAACTGTAAAAATGGAAGCAGCAAGAAGGACGCAGGTCGTCCACAATTAATGCGAACAAAAAACCTTTTAAATGAAAATATTGCCCATGGGTCTAGCTCTCTGCTAGACCAAGTGAACCGTACTAGATGGCAGACTACAGACTACAGACTATTCTTTATCCGCCAATGGCGATCAATCGCCCGCGAAAAGTGAGAATACAAAACGTAATAAAAACAAAAACAATAACAAAGAAGAAGAAAGAGTTCAATCGTTGGCTGACATATCCTTTGAAAAGCATTCACAATGCAAATTGCCGAACAAAAAAGTGCGTGTCTAGCCGCTGCTGTTGCCGTAACACGCCAATGTCCTGGCCTCTGTATCACTAGTAGTAGTAGTAGTTGTTGTTGTTGTTGTTGTTGGTGTTGTAGTCATTTGTCTAATAGAATTCATGCGTATGCGTCAAATTCATTGAATCCTTGCTCGCTTTTGATTTGAATCTCATGGTTTTTTGTTCGATTTCTTCAGCGACTGTGACTCTGATTTTGTGTTATTTATTTATTGTACAAGCCGTACACTTTTACATTTGTTGGTCATTAAGAGGACACGTGCAATAAAGCACGTGACTTCCGCGGCGTCACAAGTAAAAATGGACTCGAATTCAATTGTTGCTAAAGTATTAATTTCTGGCATGAAGGAAAAATTCAAATTTGTTTGTAATTCTTATTTACAAGGATTCGTTTGTACATTTGTGCGATGATGAGCGAATATCGAACTTAAAGTATTGTGCGTAAGCGTCCCGCATTGTGCGGAATGCCTGTGTCCTGTGGCCGCAAACAAATAAAAATAAATGATTGTGAAAAATATGTTTTACAACATTGTAAATAGTAATTTTCGAATTTTGATTTCTTTTTCAGTTAATTTTTGTTTAAACATTGTAAGTACTCGGCAATTTACCCTCAAACACTCACGCTTTTTGAATAAATAAACGGCACACATCGGTCTAGGCGTGCGAAGGATGTTAATTTGTTATTAATTGTGTACAGGACATTCATTGTTTGATTTTATATATAACATATATTTGCGTTCAATAAGTGGGCTTATGTCTCTAGTACTTGAGCAGCATGAATACTTATCACTGTTTATTTTAATCTTACAATGAACAATTTAATGGAAAATTAATTTTGACAAATTATGTACTCGGATATTTGTTATTCAATTAATTTTATATAAAAAAAAATTAATTTTTTTTTTATTATGTCATGAGAATGGATGAAGAAGCTCCAACAAAAAAGTTGTTTGAAGCAGTAGTTGGCGGAAGAAGACGTCGAGGTAGACCGTGTCTCCGGTGGACCGATCAAGTTCAGAGAACACTAACTGGACTTGATGCACGAGACTGGAGAAAGCGCAGAGGCGCCTGGGGAGACATGCTCTTCGGGCTGAAACTCGATGACGAGTTGTTATGGCCAAATAAACCAAAAAGAAATAATAAATAATACCACTTTGTTAGATATTTTCTTCAAAAATTCAATTACAATCTATCTTAGAAAGAATAGTAGTAAATATGTTTAAAACTACAATATGTAAGAGAAACTTTTAAGTACTATAAAGCATAAAATAACTAGAACTAATTTGATAATAAAGTTTTAATATCAGAGCTTAATTTATTTTCAATCTTTTTTAAGTCATATCATTATTTTATCAGTCCCATCAAATAAATATACTACCAATATTTCAATAACTGCTTTTGACGGTATTTTGTAAAATGCCATCTAACTTTACTGAG